TTAAAGACAATATTTTTTTGAAGGGTATACGCATTCAGACTAGAAATGAATGTTTCCCCCCGAAAGATTTAGACAGACTTTTACTTCTAATTTGTTTTAAATATAAAACCCAGGAAACTGAGATGGCTTTTTCTGATATCTGTGTTAATGACTGGATGGCAAACCATCATTTAAGTAGGAAAAGAGAATGCATAAACCGTGGGGGTGGGGGAAGGAGACTAAGGACAGCGTGCTGGCATAGGTTCTTGAACCCAGCAACTCCCATCTCAGCACTTAATTCCTTCTTGATTTCCTTTTTCAAATAAATATTAACTAAAATATTGCAAGAGTTTGAATTAATTTATTATAACTTCTATGAACACTTACTGGTGCAGCATGGTAGCATGAAATAATTGAACAAACAGGAAAAACTGGATTCTAGCAGGAACTTGGGGGAAAAAAAAATTGCTCCTTATTTGTAACGGTGGAGCAGACCAAATAGAACCCCTCTTGGGTTTTGGCATGATTTAATCTATCTGGGAGGAGACTATCACAGAAGCTGAAGAAGTAGAGCTCTGGCACCTCTGTGGACCTTTACCTTCTCAGTTTGAGATCCAGCTGGTGGGGAAGCCTGGGCAAGCATGCCTATCCAACAGAACAGTTTTGCCTGTCTCTTCAACCTAGTACCCCTCCACGGTGCTATAAGTTGTAACAACCAATCTGCTCATGCTGGTGATATCTGATTTCCCTATATTTCCTCCCAATAAATACATGCATCCTATTCACAATTACATTGGCAAGAAAAGTGATTCTTGACCAGGAGTACGTGTACCCCCATGGTACACAGTGTTCTTCCAGGGGGTACAGAAACACCTCTAGATATTTGCCTAGTTTTACAACAGGCTACATAAAGAGCACTGGCAAAGTCAGTACAAACTAAAATTTCAGATGACTTGTTTATACTTCTCTATATATTATACACTGAAATGTAAGTACAATATTTGTTCCAACTGATTTATTTTATAATTATATGGTAAATACAAGAAAATAAGCAATTTTTCAGTAATAGTGGGCTGTGACACTTTTTTGTATTTTTATGTTTGTTTTTGTAAGCAAGTAGTTTTTACGTGAGGTGAAACTTGGGGTATGCGAGACAAATCAGACTCCAGAAAGAGGTACAATAGTCTGGAAAGGTTGAGAACCACTGGACAAGAAGACTGAAATCTATCTTAGAAGAGGCACCTTAACGTGCCTTCCACACAAGGGCAAGGTTGTTCTTCTACTCTAGTCTTTTCTTTCATATTTTACAGATTACTCTTCCTTTGTTTGGACCTCAGCTGAAAGAGAAGTTGCTACACATACCAGAAGTGGAAAAAAGCTGTTAATATTTAACTCAGAACTGATGAATTCAGGGTTACATCTCTTTTCTTTCCATTCTAAATGACTGTACTTAAAAGCATCTAAATCCTACATAACTAGGTGGATCAGTTACTGCCTCATTGAAGCATATGCAGCTGCAGACAGACTGATTGGTTATGGAAGGAAACAGGGCCCAGTAGATTGGTGGCCTGTTGGGTAGAAAGGTCAACAACCACCAACAGAAGAAATAAGCAAAGGTGTTACTGGGTAATCCATCAGCACATTTTGTAAACGCCTTACAAGATGGCCCTTTAATCCTCAGCAGCAGGATACTTTTATCAGGACAGTGGTCCAGGCATTCGGACCAATGAGCAGAAAGGAAAAATTAGTATCCCAAATGTATGTTTGGAGGAGATGTCAGGATTGCTACCTATTTTCTTTCTTCAACTTTTCTTTTTCTCCCAGTGCATCCAATCAGAGTTAAATTCTTGGATTTCTGTGGTGGCCCATTCTCAGCTCTGTATAGTTACTGCTGTTGAACAAGGCCTTGAGCTGAATAAGTATTTGAATTCATCTATTAATAGCACTTCAGTGTTGCAATATAGCTTTGGAAGTACTTATTTTGCGTGAGGGACGAAGGGGCATATCAAAGTCTTGGGCAAGTGTGAATTGTCTCCAGTGTATTCTAGATATGAGGGCAACCCAAATGTCTCCAATTAGGAGGTGAGGTCCTAGAAAGGAAAATTGTGTAACAGACGTTTCATTTTGTATTCTAAACAAAGGTTAAAAATAAAGTAAGATATGTCTGTCTGTGTACTCTTCTCCCCTCCCCCCCGCCCCCTTCCGCCTGTGAAATAATCCACTTCTGGAGTTCAGACTTGTCCTGCTGCATAGAAATATTGGCAGTGCCTTCTATCTAGGTTCTAGGGCTCCTCTGTTTCAGGCAGCCATAATGCCAACCTGTCAGCTCATTTTTTTTTAGGAGGAATCAAGGGGACATGACAGTGATTAGCAAAGGGTTTTATGATGTGGTTTTTGTGTGTGTTTTTATGTATTTGTGAATGGGGTATTAGAACAGTCTTCGTTTCAAAGATGGAAAATCCCTTGTTTTCAGGATTCAGAGTAACAGTCGTCTTAATCTGTATTCGCAAAAAGAAAAGGAGTACTTGTGGCACCTTAGAGACTAACCAATTTATTTGAGCATAAGCTTTCGTGAGCTACAGCTCACTTTTCCACAGTATGCATCCGATGAAGTGAGCTGTAGCTCACGAAAGCTTATGCTCAAAAAAATGGTTAGTCTCTAAGGTGCCACAAGTACTCCTTTTCTTTTTGTTTTCAGGAGTTAGTGCTGGAAATGAATTATTTGAGTGTTTCTTTTATCACAACCATTTTGGTTTCAGTTTAGATTTGTTTGTCTCTGGCAAACAACTTAATATTTTTGTAATATAAGATAATGTATCCATTGTCCAGACTCTTGTGCATGGTCTTCAGGCTTTTAGAACATTTCCAAAATGTGAGGCTTTTTATTCAGTTGCTGAATGAGTAAAAGAGTTATGAACAAACATGGGATTTCTGATGTATGTTGGCTCCTAATCAACCAAAACAGGAAATCTATATTTTAAAGTGGTTGTGAGATTGAATTTGGAAGTTGATAATTCAGTGTGCACAGTTCTTGTATTTCTCTGATCGCTTAATTTCAATATATTCATTCTAGTGAGCCATGAAAATATAAGACTAGAAAACTATGCTTGGAAGAGAGGATACAGAGTAAACAATTCATTACTGTCTTGTACATCTTCATGATAAATGGTTTTGCTATAAGTTGACACAGGACTTTCATTTGTCTCTTTTTTTAAATGTAAAATAAAAAAAAGGTGGTTGAACAGGTACTGTATTTAAAAAATCAAAAGGAAGTTGCATGCTTTTCTGATTGGAGCACTAAAACAATCTGAAAACTGGGTTGCTTGTGCCTTTCCTGTATTAGATAACACTACCAAGTGGTTGATACAAGACTTTGGAGCCCCAATATGGGGCAGCTAGTCAGAAGAGGAATCTCAAAGCATTTTATAGGTGACACAGATATGGCACTGACCATAGTAGGCTCAATAGGCCAGATTTTTAAAGGTATTTAAGATGTCTGACTCTCCTGCCACCTACAGCCACTCTTCCTCTAGGCAGTAGGGAGGTCCACTGCGGTCACTCTGCGCCCAGGTTTGGTGCTATGGGGCTGCCCACCCAGCACTGAATCTATCCAGGAAGTGTTGACTGACAACTGTGGAGGGAAGTATACTCCTCGGTGAGAGAGGGGTTCCATTCTGTTCAGTGCAACTGTAGTCATTACTACCTTCTTTTTCCTACACACAACAAAATGAGGGAGCAGACAGGAAGCTGCCAAACTGTGGGCTGGGACTGGCTTTATGTTCTTTGATTCAACATTTCCCTATCCACTGCTATTCCTGTTGCACTCAGCAGTGAGTACAACTGAAGCTTGTGCAGAGGCCCCAACCACCACTTTTTGCAGACCCACCATCCTTGAAAGCTCTGAAGAAGGGAATTGTTCTCTGGACTTATCCTGAGGTGAAGTTTAACCAATACGCTGAGCCCTCTGCTCAGTAGTATGCCAGACAATTTCCTCCAGAAGACTGAGACACTTAGTGGAGGCAGTGACATCTACCCTAACTCTCTATGAGGCAAAGAAACTAAGTTTCTCTACCCTCCATATAAGCACAGGCAGAGATTGATGTTTGCTTTCCATTTCACGTAGATATTAGGGCATTAATCTCAGAATCCAGGTGAAACCTGATGTAAAACCTGCCTTTTCTAAGGCTATGTGTAAGTTTCATAGGCTGCCAAAAAAAGTCCTTTGATTCATTGTGGACTGCTCATCCAGAGCCTGCAGTTTGCAAGCAGTTGGTCCATCACAACTGTCATGAAGCCAGGAGGCTTTCACCCCTTCACTGAATTCATACCTTCAACCTAAAACCTCCACTCAACATACGTCTCTGATTCACCATAGGTTCTCAATGTTTTCAATTCTCTGCTTTTGCCTTTTGGCCTAAGAACAGCAACTGAGAGTCTTATCAAAGGTCCTGATAATGGTTTGTTGTAGTACTCTCTCACACCCCTCTAACAGTTGGAATTCTAACAGTTGGAATCTTACCTTTCTACTTAGTTCTCATTTTAGGTTATAGTTTGGAATTTGAGTACTCTTGGGGAAGTTATCTACTACATTTTGGGGGTTGGTTGTAGCTTAGGAAGAAAAGGTGTCAGTTTTTTCAGTCGACTGATGAAGCTACCTTAAGTAAAGGCGGAACAATCCAGCTTCTGCATAATTTTACAGGTAGAACCGGTGTTCCTCTTTTGTGTACAGAAGTTTAAAGTGGAATTTTCCTTTGGTGAACGTTCAGGGTATGTTCTGTTTTTGTCAATTCTGCAACTTTGGATGAACTAGCCTACAGGGGATCAAGCAAGTGACTTTTTTTCCAAGTGTGTGATAAAAGAAGCCTTTGGGAATATGCAATTGAAAAAATACTTTGCGAAAATGCTAAATGCTTATGAAAATCTCTTCTGGCGAATGTGAGATTCTAGTTTGCATTTGCTCACTTTCTATATAAGAAATGACTCCTTTTGTACAAGGTTACTATATTTTTTAATCATTTCAGGCTGGCATTCCAGATCCACCAAACATGTCTGAAGAATTAATCCAACTGAAAGCCAAAGAGCGCCATTTTCTGGAGCAACTATTGGATGGAAAAAAATTGGAAAACTATAAAATTCCGGTCCCAATCAAAGCAGAACTCAGAAAATATCAGCAGGTAAAAACTTCTCCTTTTACTTTACAAGAAAAGTATGATGACTTATAGTGCATAATTGTAACACATTCTGTACACTAAAACTCGGACAGTAAACTGACAGACTTTCAGGGTTGGTAATTTCCCAGAAGAAACTAGTTTAGGACAAGGCATTAGTAAATACTGTTTTCAACCCATTTTAATCAGAAACTGGGAATAATATAACTATTATTAGAACAAACTAATGACAATTACTGAAAAATATATAGTAACTTGATAGTTTTGCGGTAATATGATCTAATTTTAATTAAAGGCAATAAAACGAAAAAGAGCCTCAACTTAAAGCTGTATGCTATTGCCTTGGATACTTCAAACAAAAACTGAAACTTCTGAATTTCTCTTCTTTGTTTAGCAATTAAAATATGTTCAGTACAAACAGACGGATTCCCACATTCAGAAGTTGCAGTTTCTGTTCGAGGGGAAACTACCAAATTAACTGTCCAGTCCAGTACTTTCTCTTCAGTTGGGTGGCTGGAGTGCAACTGAACTCAGTGAATACAGTGACTCAAGTAAAATATTTCAGCATGAGCAAAGGTGGAAGAACACTTGACCCAATTCATGGCTAGTTTTGAGAAAGTTCATGAAGATGGCAGAGTCTTGCATTCAGAAATTGCAAAGACAAAGTGAGTTGGAAGGCAGATTGTATGAGAAATAATTTGCAAAATGCAGTGGAAAGAACAAAAACACCAGAACGACTGGCTTTGGCTACACAGATGTGAGTATTAGAATCCGAAAGTCAGATCCAGATTGGCCAAATAAAACCAAGAAGAAGTTTTTAACAAAAACAACTCCAGAACTGAAGCAAAAGATAGACTTGAAAATTGCAGATTTTTTTTTTTATGGCTATAATATTACTTTGTCTGTTGAGCATCCAAATTTTCAAGCAATGATCAGCTGCGTAAGGCCAGACTACAAAGTACTCAATTGAAAGCAGGTGAACATTAGACATAGTTACTGGTGACTTATTCGTTGTATGCTTCTACCCTTTATATGCAAAGCAATCACATTAATACAGGATGGCTGGAGTAATGTGCACAATGACCCAGGGAACTGTGTGCAGATAGGGAAAACTCAGGCTTATGTGTCAGTGGTTGATACTGGAAGTAATAAGACTTGAACGCTAGCAAGAAATGCCAAAGGCCTTAGCGAATGAACTGTATGGCTATGGTGTTAAGAGCTACCTGGCAGACGACGAGAAAAAGATGTAATATGTGAGAAGTGATTTGGAACAAGATGATGACACTTTAGTTATGTATGGATGTACGTCACATTGGCTAAATCTACTTGGACAAGATCTTGCACAAAGTATGTTGATTAAACATTTTGTAGGTTTACAGAAGTATTTTCATAATCGCAATCAGCCTGAAGCCTTGTTAAAAAGAATGCCAAGGGCATGTAAACACCCAAATTCCTGGTGACGCTCAAACAGTCAAATAACATGCCTAGAAGTACACGTTAAAATATGGCTGTATTCTCTCAGGATTGAGAGTGATCCTTAGTAGGGCCCTACCAAATTCACGGTTCATTTTGGTAAATTTCACGGTCAAAGTATTTTAAAAATATTGAATTTCATAGTTTCAGATATTTAAATCTTAAATTTCATGGTGTTGTAACAAAGCATGAATATGTATTAAAAAACCTAAACATATAAAGCCTTTAAATCGGCATTTCTCAAACTGGAGGGTCCTGACCCAAAAGGGAGTTGCAAGGCTATTGTAGGCAGTATTGCCACCCTTACTTCTGCGCTGCCTTCAGAGCTTGGCAGCTGGAGAGCGGTGGCTGCTGGCCAGGTGCACTGCTCTAAAGGCAGTACCACCACCAGTGGTAGCGCAGAAGTAGAGGTGGCAATATCCTACCTGCTGCTGGCAGCAGCACAGCTTTCAGAGCTGGGCACCTGGCTAGTAGCTGCTGCTGTCCAGCCAGCCAGCTCTGAAAGGAAGTGCAGAAATAAGGGTGCCCCCCCACAATAGCCTTGCAACCCCCCCTTTTGGGTCTTGACCCCTCCCCCCCCCAGTTTTGAGTATAGGGTAAAAGTACACAAGTGCAGATTTCACCGTGGAGACCAGATTTCACCGTCCATGACACATTTTTCACGGCCGTGAGTTTGGTGTAGGGCCCTAATCATCAGGCAGAACTTGAAGATAGAATGATCAATATAACTAATAATCAAGGGATTTACCAAGAAGCAAAGAACTCAATAAGTCAGTTGAAACTAGTTGCTGTTGCATGCAGTGTATGATTTGATCTACTGTTAAATGAAGATCTTGCACTAAACAAAGCAAAAGGTACAATTAGTCCTGTGCACATGTTGGTCAACTAAAGAAACTGTCAGCTGAGCAAGAAGGAATTGCAAGGCAGTGGTTATTCAGCAAAAATCCTGACTTTCTCGCATATCTACTTACAATTAAAGTAGAAGAAGCTCCATGTCTAAAGTCAGTTTTCATCCATGATCAAAGAAAAAGTTTCCCCTCTAACATTATGGGAAAATATCTGAAGAATTCTGACATTCCATCTGACTTCATTGAACTTAAAATGCAGTTTCATCTGTGTCCAGCAAATTCAGCAAGCATAGAATTAATCTTTCAAAACTGAAGAATAAGCTCAGTGTATCACTATATAAAAGTTGTTCGATTACAGAATGCCCAAATGGACCTGGACTGATGGTCTGGACCTCTGCGTGCTTCTGATTGCATAATGCTTCAAGCCTAGAACTCTGCATTACTGTTTCATATAATATGATGATTTTGACTTCTGTTTCAATAATATTGAAAACTGAAATGAGTCATGACATATAAATTCCTTGAGAAAATACCAAACCAAAACCTATATAAATATTCCAATGTTTAGTATTGTAATTACATATTAGTATTATGTCCACTGCAGTTTTACTTTTTATTTTCACAACCCTAAATTGATCTCTGAATCTATGTAACCACAGTTTGAATATGTAACTAAAACTAAGTGTAATGTGGTGTACGTTATTGAAATAGTTCTTTAAAATCCCTTAAACTGGGACTATTAGTTTTTCTTGGACGAGTTAAAAAGAACAAAACATAATTTTACCTGGTATTTACCAGATGTGGTTTTTACCAGGTCATCCCTGCTTTCCATTCTCTGTAATTTTGAAGCAAGAATGGTGGTTAATTTCATCCGAACACCATGTGCAATAAAATATCCAAAAGATACAAGGAAGGGAGAATTATGGCATATGAACATAAAAATATCTTTGTAGATCCAAATATTTCCCACAGTCCCTGACTAATGGGCTATGCCTTGGTCTGTGTGAATATCAGAGACCATTCAGCATTGTTACTAGGCAACCACTGGGTTTGATCATGCTCCTCCCTTTCACTCACCAGAAGTTCTCACTTAGTGGTTCCCTCTCTAGGGCTCTTTTTAAAAATAAGTAAATTGTTGTGCAATAACAACCTTTTTACCCCTTTCTGAGGAGGTCTTGTCCTGAGGAATATGGAAACTGAGGCATTTGTTCCTCTGGGCTCTTCAGTGCAGCATGGTATCTCCTTTCCATGTGCTCCCCAATCATGATGAAGCAGCATAAGAAGTAGTGAGTGAAGTCTCAAAAGATGCTTTTGTTTTGTAAGGCAGCATTCCCAGTCAGCAAATAGGATGAACTATCCATACCCATTCACAGCCCCCATCCCTCACTCCACCAGGGTATGCCCCCTGTCACTCGAGAAGCCTTTACACATCACAAACAGGTTGTGGATCAGAGGGACTAGTAGTCTCAAACAAATTTGCGAAGGAACAGAGCAGATCACTCCTCTCCCTCCCATACTCTCCCCACACAGAAAGTATTTCTAATAGCCCCCTCAGCACCCTAGAGAGACAGCCCCAACTACCAGACTGTTTGTTTGAAAACCAGGCTCCCCTTGCATGTTCTCAAATGGTCCAAACTCCCTAGGCAAGGAATCAGTTGTCGTCTTCAGTCCATCTGGCATCTCCTATGCACCCAAGGACTGAAATGGGCAAGAAAAAGCCTATGAGCCATAACTGTTCCCACTCCTGATTCCAGTTCCTCCACTTGAAAACTGACTCTGAACAGCCATCACAAGTGAAAAAGGAAGATTTCCCACCCCCCAACCCTTGACAATATAAGACATACTGCACAAGACAGTGGTGGCTCTGATTTGAAATCCAGCCCAAAAAAAAAAAAAAGACAGCAAAAAATCTAATGGGTAAAGATCTGTTTTCAAAATAGAAGTTGAAAATAACCCCCTACTCTCTTTCCTGGGGAAAATCATGAAAAAGGCAAATGTCCTGTGGGAAAGAGACCACAGAATATTTTATAGTTTAGGAGCCTAAGGAAAACCACAAGTCTTGCCTAAAATCACACTGGCAGTAGCCCCCACTTTACCAAACATGAGCCTGTCTGAAGGGGATTTTTTTCCAAAAATTCAGATGATAAAAATTTAGGTTTCCCTAAGAGAGACTACAAATCTTCCACATTCTACAAAGTCCTTTGCTACCACCTGTTTTGCCTGGGCTCTCCTGTCATGTTTAACTGATCTGACAGCTGCAGACCCCAACAAAGCCAAGGAATTCCTGTCAGTGTTAAAGAAAAACTTGCATTCTGTTTCTTTCATAGCTGACTTATCTAAGGATTCCATGGGGTTTGCTGCTAGGGTCATGACCTTTAATTCAGACCACAGCAGTGGCTATGACTCTGGATAGCAGACAACCATTCAAAGAAATACTGTTTCTCAAATGGACAAATCTTCAAATTGTCTTATGCTTTACGAATGCTCTCCTCTCCACCAATTATTATGGGGTTATAGGAACTCTGAAAGTAAGTAGAAACAAATTTTCTGGATTTAAGAGTAATGAATCTGGTAATTCTCAGGTACTGGCTTCAACTGCAGAGACTTCCTTCTAGTACAATCAGAAAAGCCTTCATGGTGGATTTTTAACAACCGAGGAGGAAATAGAAGCTCAAAATTCCACTCCACAGTAGTACAGATACTATTCTGGATGAAGAATCCTTGCATTGATCACTACAGCCCACAAAAAGGGGGACACTAAAGAAGAAAGACTACCTGATTAGACATTTGACTCATAACTCAAATAGTTCTGAAATCAGGAGGTCTGTTTTTATTTTCTGTGAGGGAAATATGTGCATAGTTATTTACAAAGGTGATTTAGTATTAGAACTTGTTACTAATTCATTAGTGTTCTACAATTTTAAGAAAAACTCTTCGACCAGGTCTATGCTACAGAACTATATCGCTATAACTGTATTTTACAAATATTGAAAAGTGAAATATGCATTTGAAAATGCTATCAGAGGTTTGAAAAAATCCACACCCATGAGTGACGCAGTTATGTTGACCTTACACCTCATGTAGATGGTGCTGTGTCAATGGAAGAGCTTTTCCCTTTGACATAGCTTACTGCTTCTCTGGGAGATGGATTAACTATGCCAACAGGAAAAGCTCTCCTGTTGGCGTAGTAACATCTTCACAAAAGCGCTACAGGGGTGCTATAGCACTGTACTTGAAGACAAGCCCTTCTAGTGTGTGGAACAAGGGGCATGGCTAGAGATGTGAGGTCTGGAGAAACCCAGAAACTTTCAGTGGGGAAAAGAACTTTTTTTTTTTTTTTTTAAACCCCCCCTCCACCCCGATGCTTTGGTATGAAAAAAAAAATTGGAAGTGCTGGGAAAAATTGAAAAGAAACTTCTGTGCAAATATTATATATCTGTAATCCCCTGGAACATATTATAGCCCCCTAAATTGCTGCTGTTTGTACTAAAGAACAACTCTGAGTATAGGGGGCCCTTTCTTGTGGCTTACTGCCTGCCTGTCTATGCTGACTTCCATCCTGGACGTGGAGTTTGGTGTGGAAACAGTGTGAGCATGAGGGGGAAGCAGCTGCTACCCTGAAGCTGCTGTCCTCCTGACTGTCCCTGATGAGCAGCCCACTCATTCCAGAGACGACATCTCAGTAGACTGGAAGGTTGACACACACTGTCGTGTAGGGGACCTAACAGTCTGTAGCCTGCCTGCATAGTCGCTGGGCTAGAGAGCAAGAGGCCTATGCATCCAGGGCCTTGGAGGAGAATCTTGAGGGGCAGGAATGGATTCTGCCTCCACTTTCTGACCCGGAGATCTGCAGGAGGAACCAAATGCACGCAGCATGGAGGAGCTCTTTTTCTTCTCCCTCAGCAAAAATGATATGACTATGGAAGCATTTCCACACTGAAAGTCATTCAGACGAAAAGGGATCTGTATTTGCAAATACTGCCAAGTGAAATATGCGTTTTCAGATGCTATGAGAATGGCCAAACACATCCTTGCATGTAAAATGTCCTGCAGACATTTAAAAAAGCCTTCATGACTGGCAATGAAGGTCAAGAAGAAGAGATGACACTGACAGTGGTTGCACTTGCAACAATCCTCCTCAATCCAGAAGTCCTTCTGCTTCTGACACACCACCATCTGAAATTGTTGTACACTCAAGTTCAGCTCTTCAGTCATCAGGAAAACAACATGCATTTCAGCCAGTTATATCCAAAAGACCCTCAACAATGACTTCATTAATAAACAGGGTGATGCTTGAATGGCAACAAAAAATTGACCAAACTCTCTCAAGGGTGATATGTTTCTGGCTCTCCACTGAGTCACGGAAAAGATTTATTGGCAGGAACCATTTAAACTATTAAGACCATCATGAAAGTCACCCAGCAGACATTCTTTCAGCAAGACTCTTCTACAGTCAGAATATGAACGTTTTTAATACAAACTCTGCGCCAAAAAAAAAAAAAAAAAATCAATGAAAACTTAGTCTGGCAGTACTTGCAGATGTGTGGACAGATGCGTGGGGGGGAAAGAAATCCAAAATTGTATAACACCTCAACCAGTTTTTTTGGCTAACATGTGAAAGATGTTGAGAAGTGTTTCAGTTAGTGCAAATCTTCAATTTTAAAAGTACATGAAGATCATAACAAAAGTTCAGTCCAGAAGTTGTGAATCTTTCAGACAGATTCTGATTAGAGAAGTCCCAAGAAAAATCTCTATTCTAGCATTTCCAAGATATTAGTAACTAAACTGTTTAGCCAGCTATGAACAAGTATAATATAATTTTGCTTAAATTATGACACTTTTTAGTAGTGTGTTATCCTTTATAGAGTCTGGTGTTTACTATAAAGTTTAGAGATATGCTGAGACTTACCATTTGTCCTTAATATTGTGTTAACTACATTATAATGAATATGTAAAGGGGATGCTCAGTGGAGACTCTCTCATCCCAATAAGCTTGGTGGCAGCAGCAGCAGAAGCATCACCCTCAAATCCCCCACCCCACCAAATCCAGGCAGGGTAGTTAATAGTAGTGGGAGCCCAGGCCAGCTTTCAGGCTCCCTTTCCCCCCCCAGTTGCAAACTGAAGAAAGGGGGCAGGGGTGAAGAGACGGTGAAGTCCAGGAGGGAGTCATATAGCGGGTGTCCAAGGGACACTTTTATGCGGTGGTGGGGAAAGGGGACCAGCAGAGTCAGCAAGTTGGGGTTTTTCTGTGGTGCCATATATTTATATGCAATTAAGGCTGAATTTTCAATCTGTCACATGCATGGGATGGGGGAGGTTTAGAAACCAGAAGATGTGGGGTTTGTTTTTTTTGGGTGTGTTTAGAATCCCATGATTTTGGGGAGTTCTGACTCATTTTGACTCTTGGGCTTGGTGGTAATAAATATCAAAACAAACAAAGGGCAGAGGCCATCAGTCATGGTTTTGGGGAGAGGTTACACTCGAAGAAAAATTGAGTAACATATTCCAGTTTTCTTCCCTCTGCATATTTTAATAGCCAAGCAGTTGTACGTCACACAGTGAAGACTGCAAAGGTACACTGACTAGGATATTTGTGAGTTTGTCTTTGCAAGTGTTTCTGCTGATCGATTTACCAGCACCCAAGGAGCATTTTTTTTTCCCCTTTTCTGTAAGGCTGTTAATGAGATGGTGGGCTGAAGCAGATACAATTGTGGGCAGTCCTTCGGGGCTGTGTATGGGGGGTGTTAATTATGGGATAGGCACCCAGAGCAATGCATGGACACCTGTAGTAGTAGTTTAAAAGTTTGAAATCAGGCAGGAGTTCGACAGTGCATGGCATATCCATCACAAAAGCGTTTTGAAGGAAAGATTGATTGCTCTAATCAAATCACCTGACTTTTTACATCTTTTGTCTCCTGCACTTTCTCCTTTTTAAAGGATGGTGTCAATTGGCTGGCATTTCTCAATAAGTACAAACTTCATGGAATTCTTTGTGATGATATGGGTTTAGGAAAAACATTGCAGTCCATTTGTATTCTTGCAGGAGATCATTGCCTCAGGTAAGCTGCTGTTCTATCATGCACTTTGAGGATTTTTTTTTAAGATACTAAAAGTAACATTGTGTTCTTAATGTTTGATACTCTAAAGGGCTCAAGAATATGCAAGAACTAAATTGGTAGACAGTGTTCCTCTTCCATCCTTGGTGGTTTGTCCTCCAACGCTTACAGGTCATTGGGTGGATGAAGTGAGTAAATTTTGCTCCAAAGAGTATCTCAATCCTTTGCACTATACCGGACCTCCCACTGAAAGAGCAAGGTAAGCAGTACATTGCAGAAAAAATATTTTGACTTGAACATATATTCTCTGTCTGATTAAGATAAATTTCAAAATTCTTTGTATATGGCTGAAAAAATAACTTCGCTTTTTATGCAGACAGTAAATCGTAGAATGTTTACTCTACTTTTGTGGGTGGAAATGAAGACCTATTTATTTATATTTGCCCTGAACACTGTTTCTCTCTATTTGTTTTAAGATTGCAACACCAGGTGAAAAAGCACAATCTCATAGTAGCTTCATATGATGTTGTGCGAAATGACATTGATTTCTTCAGGTAAGAATTAATGTTTGTCGTCTTACTTTCTTGTTTTATTCATATTTTAAAAATATTAAATAAGACTTCCTTTTATTTCCTAGAAATATTAAGTTTAATTACTGTATTCTTGATGAAGGCCATGTAATCAAAAATGGAAAAACAAAATTGTCAAAAGCAGTAAAGCAGTTGACTGCCAATTATAGGATCATTCTTTCTGGGACACCAATCCAGGTAATTGCTACACACTCTATTTCAAGAGGGTGGGAGTGGAAAAGGCAAAGGGAAATTATTTTTGCAGTTACTTCGCTGTCCTCATTATCTTAGCTGTCCTGTTCAGCATATAGCTTACTGCTCTCCTGAACATCTGAGGCTCGCGCTCACCATTTGACATATGGAAAAACCCAAAGTGGTGTGGGGACTCTGAAGTACTCCCACTCCATTTTTCTCCAAACTGTTACAAAGTGGTGTGGTTTTCCACCTTTATGGAACCCAGGGGTTCCATTCCAAAAACTCATGGCACATAATGTTCATATCAACTCGAACTCCCTCACATTTTGAGTCCCATTCTGCTATATAAGACCTCTCTCCTTGGGATGTCTGCCTCGCATTGAGTTGAGGCTGCCAAAGACCCTAGTGTACTGCCATACACTCTCTCTCTGCTGCTATCCAAAGGGCATGCTTTGATGCCTGGAGGTGTCGGAAAATCCAGTAATCAATTACAAAGTGCACATTCTGAAGTCACTTTGGTCCTGGCCTGTGAAGGTACCATTGGGGCCTTCCCCTTACCTAATCCTTGATTTCATCCCCACCCAACTGTCAATCTCCCAGATACACAAAACAGCTATAGGATCATAATTGATGTCGAGAGCTTCATTGCACTGTATTATAGGGTAAAAATCCAAAAATAAGTAAAGAAATACTCCATAATCTTGGAAACTGTTTTCAGTCTTGGAAATGTTTTAATGAATTTTTCTCTTATCTTCAGAATAACGTTTTAGAGTTGTGGTCACTGTTTGACTTCCTTATGCCAGGATTTTTGGGTACTGAACGCCAGTTTGCAGCACGTTATGGCAAACCAATTTTAGCAAGTAGAGATGCTCGGAGTTCCAGTCGAGAACAAGAGGCAGGTAAGGCACAAGCTCCAATCTATTTTCTTGCTTGTTTCTTTGTAACTCAGAATTTCTGTTGAAAACATCAAACACTTCAATATCGCAGTATGAAGTCTTTCTGTTTGGGGTGATTGAAGTAATTTGCTGCTTTGTTGTGGTTTCTGAACTATTTGCTATGTCTGCTGTTGACACCTAGGAGTTCTTGCAATGGAAGCACTGCACCGTCAAGTATTACCATTTCTGTTGAGAAGAATGAAAGAGGATGTACTACAGGATCTTCCACCCAAAATTATTCAAGATTATTACTGTACTCTCAGTCCTCTACAGGTAAGTTTAAAAAGCAAGATACAGACTCTCTCTGGTACTGCACATTTGCTCTGCACTAGTTGGGACTACTGAGGAGCCAGTTGTAGCTCCATGATCCTGGGGTCAGTTCAGTATGAACCTTGGCATACTTTAGACCACCCAGATTTGAAAATATTTTCTTATGAGGCTTAAAATTAAAATCACTGAGGAGTGTGTTTCTGGTATCACTAATGTGGGTAGTTGTAGGAAATAGTTTCCTGGCATGTATTACTTAGACAGTATGCATGAATTTGCAAATTTAAAGTAAAATTTTCAAGTAATGAGATTACACATAAACTGTGTGGTATTAATATTATGTTTAGTGAGAACTTAAAAAGTTCTCTTCGTTTGTTGCATTATTAGGCAGTCTGGATTTCAATTTTGTCGTTCTTGTTTTCTCACTCCTTTACACGATACACTCCTTTCTTTCACCTCGGGGGACCCTACAGGTTCAGCTTTATGAAGATTTTGCCAAGTCTCGTGCCAAATGTGATGTTGATGAAACTGTTTCATCTGCTTCACTGAGTGAGGAGACTGAAAGGCCAAAGCTTAAAGCTACAGGACATGTGTTTCAGGTACAGATTTCTTCAATAATTTGTACTCTCTTGTAAATGTATTTCTAGTAGATTATATTCTGCTAAATCCTGCCCTACTGAAAAAGGTAATTTTTGTACACTGGATGTTGAAATATAGTTTAAAGTACATTCGGTTAAATCCTGAACCTACTATTTAAATGAAGCAATTTCCATAGCTGTGATTAACTTGTCTGGAATAAGGTGTGAAGAGCTAAGATGATTAAATTACATTTTGATGTCTTATTTTCAAGTGAAACTTCCTGTTTAAAATATTTAAACTATAATAGGTTTTTTTACGTATTCTGCTGAATTAATCAGACTGAAATTGTGCATGATCACAAGCCTTCATAAAATTTGGATCCAAAGATAACTTAAGGTAAATTGGTATGGCAGTCCTTCTCTGAAGGGCCTCACACAGCTTCCAGTTTCCAATCTTGTTGTTTCAGAGTCACATGATGCTCTGATACAAGGGCTTCATGCACTGTCCCCAGAGCTGGAACTAAGATTGTTTTAATACTCGCAGCGGCAAGTTTTCAGCTGGAATTAACTTTTATTTAAATAAGCGTATGATACAAACATCATTAAAAATCTGTGTTGTCGTCAGACTTGTGAAATTATGGCCAAGTGGGCTACAACATTAAATGTCAGTTTTGTTCACCCCATTTTCCATAATCTTTAGTTGCTGCTAACCTCACCAGTTAACTTTTTCTCTCAAAATTTAAAAGGCATTGCAATATTTACGAAAACTATGTAACCATCCAGCATTAGTGTTAACAACCCAGCATCCAGAATACAAGAGAACCACAGAGCAGCTTGCAGCTCATAACTCATCCCTTCGAGATATCCAGCATGCACCTAAACTGTCTGCTTTAAAACAAGTAAGTATATTTAAACCATGTTATGTATCCCAAAGTTCATAAACGTATGTACTGTTCTGGAGTTACTGTGATTATTGTATAACACTGTTTTTGAAAAAAACTATCAATTAGGAATTTAGTTTATTTTAAAAAATTAGTTAACCTGTCCTTGAGTGTCTGTCATATTTCTGGTTTTACAGTTCCATTTTTCTGTTTTTGGTTATTTTTGCGGGGGGGAGGGAGAAGGCTATTGAATAATTTCTCTCAATCATTCCTGTGCAAAAGAATCCATACAAACAGAAGAAACTGAGACCCCTTGCAGTCAATGTGTGATGCTGAATTTGGGCAGGACTATTTGATTTCACGGTGAAGCGGACCATAAACAAAGTGCAGTCAAATAACAAAGTGCCAGCAAACAAACTGGGAAAACAGGGAGATATTTTGTCCCTCTAATCTTTGTTATATTAAGCAAAGATGTTACTTGTAATAATAGCAAGTTTAAAAGTTTCAGGCAGAAGTGATTTTTAAATTGATGGGGTTTTTTAAAATGCAATTTCCATGTAAAATTGAGTGTACTGAACGATTTTCTGACCAAGTGTTCACTCTTAGCATGGGACCACCATTTTCAGGAAAGTAGCTATAATTTATCTCTTCAAATTTTAATCCAAGGCATTTCTGCTCTTTTTATATCTATTTGGAAATGATCACTAGAAATATTTGCTAAAATTTAATTTTTTAGAAAATAGTACTACATTTCTTAAGAAAATAGGCATATGAAGAAGAAGATGGGATATGTACGAAGTGCTGATTTTGTACAAATACAGAAGTTATGTAGTTATTGCATGGAGAGATAATTCTCTCTCCAATCCTGCATTATAATGTGTGGGCACAGCAGTCTGCATACATGGATCAAAGTACAGGATCAGGCCTTAGTCATTGTTTTTTCAAGTGCTTTGGAGTATCTGAAGTATGAAAGCTGCTTTTTCTGTTCGCTGTTGCTTTACTACTTCCTGTTACTCTTAGCAGAAAATTGTTTGACCTGTTTATTATAGAAGACACCTCTGGTGGTTGAAGACATTGACTCAATTTTCTATATAATTACACATGGTTATGTATTATACCCCTCTTACTAATCTAATATTTGATAGAAAACTTCTTGTTTAAAACCAGTTTTTGTGGAAACAAGATAAGAAATTTAAATGTTTTCTGCCAAATTTTGCAGGTCCTTCATAATGTGAAAGGCTGTACAGTCAATATTCCTTGTTCCCTACAGAATGTGACTCCTAGCTCATTACATACCCTGCAGGAATTTGGGGGGGTGGGGAGAGAGAGAGAAAAATATGATTTTTATTCACTTCTGCCAGCAGTGTAAATACCTCTATTTACAAGAGAGACCTAATCCATTGTGGTAATTTTTATTTTAAAATTTACTTGAAGCTACTACTAGACTGTGGTTTGGGAAATGGTGGCTCTTCAGAGAGTGGCACAGAAGCTGTTGTGGCTCAGCACAGGATACTTATCTTCTGTCAGCTCAAGAGCATGCTGGATATAGTAGAACATGACCTTCTCAAACCTCACTTGCCCTCTGTTACATATTTGCGATTAGATGGCAGCATACCTGCTGGTCAAAGGCATTCCATTGTTTCACGGTAAGTTCCTCTCTTCTTTTCCTCTGGTGCCTTAAGGCAGACTACAATGGATAGCATTACTTGCTTGAATACAAAATTGAAGTGGCTCTTGTCTCCTGGGAGCTCTTGCAGCTTTTAATAAGATAGGGTATTATAATTTCTACGCATGTGATCAGATTATACTGGCACACCATCATTGAATAACTGATCTTGCAATTTGAATCAGATTAAATGAACCAGTGTGAAGATGTGTTCACAAATATTAACTGAGTAGCAAGGAACCATGTCATAAGCATCATACTTTTTTTAAAAAGTCATTAAATTAAATTCTGAATAACACTAGGCTTAAATTGTAAGGAAATCTTCATATGATGGGCTTTCTTCGGTTCGCTAGTACTACAAAAGAGATTCCAAAATTCCAAGTGTACTCTGAATATAGTGAATATACTTACAACAACAATTGAACTATGAAAGCAGGTCTTTATTGTAAAGCCTAAAACATTTACTTGTGAGCCGGCTTGGTTGTCTCTCCTGTTCATCATGCAGAGACCTTTATACAATCCTAATTCCTGGTTTCTTGCTGTCTTGATCAACTCCAATGTTTCCAACTCTTGCAGTGATGAGTGTTTTTTCTTGAATAGGGGAGAATCTCAGCTTTCCTGTAAAATAAAAAACGAAATTTCTATTCCTCGTTGCAAAGAAAATCTTGAAAACCTGAAACAAATGTAATATTCAACCAGAAAGCAAATAAAAAATAACCAAACTTTCATGATTTTTTTGAACACTGAGAATATTGCTATTGTAGTTTGTCCCTAGAGAGATTAAGTACTTTGTCACTCTGGCAGAGCCCTATATCCATAGGTCATTTGGCCTTCTGTTCAAAATTATACCTGCTGGTCCTTGTATGGTGCTCCTCAAGAAGAGGACAGGAGCATTCCATATACGCTTCCCCTCCTCCCCCCCCCCCCCCAAGCTGTGAGAGAAATAGTCTTGAACAAAGACTGCATCTTGTTAGATTCTTTTTTTTTTACTTTTAGATGCATATTTTCACTTTTGTTTGTAACCATCTCTGCCTTTATCTCTTTTAGTTCATCTATGCTTTTTTCTTAATAAACTTGTTTTGTTTTTATTATAAACCAGTTCAGTGTTGTGTTTCGAAGGGAAGGGCATTTTTACCTCTTTTAATAAATTGTAACATGCTGTCTCTTTAACAGAGCAGCGTACTTCAATATTGTCTGTGAATATATAGTGATAGGTGCTATGCAGTGCAAAGAAGCATCTCTGAAAAGCTGGAGTTCACTTATTACTTGCTAGGCAAGATTTGGGCTGGGGGAGCCTAGAAAAGTTTGTTGGAGGAAGACCAATTGATGTGGCAAGGAGCTGACCGTCTAATATCTAGTAAGCTCACTCTTGCAGAGAAGAAACACAGTGGCCCCCAGCTCGGGTATCCCCATCAGCATGTTAAAATTAATGTGGCCTTTGAAAGCACCAGCCAATAACTTTACAAGATAATACTCAAAACCCAGTTCATCCTAGATTAAACACAAGCTTGTAAATTCAATAGCCCACTTTCTAATGACAATTAGGAATGTTTTTTCCCTAATGAGTAGAGTGTCTGCAGATTTGACTTTTTTATTTTATTTTTATTAAGTTTTCTGGCTGTTATGGTTGTGAACTGAGGAAGCCAGCACTGTAGTGGCTAAACTTGAGGCTGTGGAGCTGTATGCCTCAAGACTGTGCTGCTGCTCATAGCTTTCATAGAATCAGAACATGGAAATCGAGACACTGGTAGTTAGTTTCATTGCTGCTTATCAGAACACTGAGAACAGCAGTGAAACTACCTTTCAATCTGCTGTTCCTTTTGGGAAACTATGCATAGCAGTTCCTGTGGGAGGCAGAATAGAGTAAGTCGCACATATGTATGAGCAGCATGACTAGCAGCCAGGAGGCTTAGAGAACAGAAGTGACAGCCACCAATTTTCCCACCCTTGTTCCTCTTTGGACTTCTGATCCCAACAATCAGGAGGCTCAAGCAGGAGGATTGGTGAAAAGAACATTCTCTTACTTGTAACAAAATGTCACTAGAATAGTATACTAGATAGCATATTTGTACTTCAAAAAATAATACATGGCAGTATTATATAGAGTTCCTTTTTCAGACCCATTAGAATTCTAAATAGCATGACACCAGTCCATGTCAATGGCATGGTTTTTTTTTTTTTCCATATTATAGCAGTGTGACCCTATTGTAAGGCTCTGTAAAGCCTGTTTAGACTAGTGTACCCTCCACTATTCACCTACAGGACTGCTGTCTCTGGTGACTATAGGCCAGATAGACAGAAGCCATTTGTGGGAGTCAGTCCATGGCAACAGCTGTGTCCAAGGACAAAGAGTTCCCATGGAGAGGGCAGGCAGCAGTACTGCTACCATCCCTTGGGAATTCAACCGAGCAAGGCAGCTTTACGTTCCAGCCAGTGATCCCTAAGGAGCTATACCTAGTCAATATACTGAATCAACATGACCTGGCCCAACCCCACCTGCATGAAGAGCTTGTGCCCGTTGCTTCTGAATCCCCAAGCAGAATGGATGTTGAAGGTGGTTTATACCATTGTGCCCCAACTACTGGCAAATGTTTCTACATTAACAGAAGTGAATTGGGGCACCAGCATTACTGGCATTGTAGCAGAGTGTCAAAAATTAATCGTTTTCTGATTTTTAGAAAACAGATTTGGGAATCATTTTAAGGAAACAAATGCCTTCATTCACATTAGCTTTTACCTTAACTAATTATTGATTTTCGGAATGTGAGTTATTTTGTAAATAATGTAAAGTAGTTTTTACTGAATTATTTCCTCTTCTAGTGAGCTACAATCTCTGCCTGTGTCAATTAACCTTTCAAGTGACTTAAAAAAAAATCTTGACAAGCAGTGAAAAATATGATGCCGAAAGTGATTAAATACACCATTAATTATTTATTTAATTACTTGTAGTTTTTGTTCCATTTCATTTCTGCAGTCACTCTTATGAATTTCTAAATACTTGACTTTTTATATTTATATATATATATAGGTTTAATAATGACCCATCCATAGATGTTCTTTTGCTCACCACTCATGTTGGTGGACTGGGACTTAACTTAACAGGAGCTGACACAGTAGTATTTGTGGAACATGACTGGAACCCAATGAGAGATCTGCAAGCAATGGATCGAGCACATCGTATTGGACAGGTAAAATACCAGTTGTTAATCTTTCATGAGTTATCAGAAACACCTTTTTTGTTCCCGCAGCCAGGGTCTCCCACAATTTTTGGTGTCTGCATTGCTCTCCTCTCTCTGCAGCTCATGGACAAACAAGAGCTTTGGAGCTGCATAGTCTGGCCACACCTCAGCTCCTGCTTGATTTCAGTTTCTCTGCTTTCGTGGCAGCATGTGGATAGTGGTTTTTACAACTCCTGCCTTCACGTTTGGCTAAGGGGGCTCTTTTTTTTTTTCCCCCAAAATTTGGGGCAATGGTGAGCAATGATCTCTCTCCTCCTCCTAGGCCAGTTTTTAGCCAGGTGTTGGAAACCTACAGAGCCTTAGGTACAGTGTCTCTCTGCTGGCTGCTCTGCTGTACCTGGAAGGTGCAGAGGTACAGCAGAGCAGCCCAAAAAGCACCAAATGAAATCCAAATGGTGCTTCATTTTTGAGGCTGCCCTCCTGGGCTCAGCAGACAGTCAGTTGTACCCAGCCTTCTGTCCTTAACTCTGTTACTTCCCAGGGCTATGAGTTGGACAGGCATGTGGCATCTTCTATCCACTGAACAGCTGTGACTCCAACATGCAGGGGAGGGGAGAAGGACCAGGAGTCTGACAGAGCAGGAGGAAGCTCCAAGGATGAGGAGGACCACAGTCAAGTGACTCAAGGAGCCCCTGGAGAATAGAGGGAACAGCATTGTAGGGTTACAAATGCTCCTCCAAAGTCCTAAAATGGGTTCTGAGCACCCTGATAAATCAGGGTTCATCAGCACCCTCCTCCTTCCCAATTTGGCCAGGACGGCTCTCCAAGTGTTTCCCTCCCTCCCTCCCTCCCCCCCCCCCCCCCCCGGGGGGGGGAGTGGGATCCAGCAGGTGAGGACTCTTAAGATCTCAGACTTCAAAAAGTGTTTTCCTTAACCTCCTGAGGATAGTACAAGAAGCAATGGGCTTAAATTACAGCAAAGGAGGTTTTAGCTGGACATCAGGAAAAACTTCCTAACTGTCTGAAGTTAAGAATTGGAACAAATTCCTTGGCTTTAGCAAAGCTTTTGTTACGGTCTCCCACAGTATTCTTGCCAGCAAGTTAAAGAAGTATGGGCTGGTGAATGGACTATAAGGTGGATAGAAAGCTGGCTAGATCATCGGATTCAACAGGCAGTGATCAATGGCTCCATGTCTAGTTGGCAGCCAGTATGAAGTGGAGTGCCCCAAGGGTCGGTCATGTGGCCGGTTTTGTTCAATATCTTTATTAATGATCTGGAGGATGGTGTGGATTGCACCCTCAGCAAGTTTGCAGATGACACTAAACTGGGAGGAGTGGTAGGTATGCTGGAGGATAGGGATAGGATACAGAGGGACCTAGACAAATAAGAGGATTCAGCCAAAAGAATCTGAGGTTCAACAAGGACAAGTGCAGAGTCCTGCACTTAGGAAGGAAGAATCCCATGCACTGCTACAGACTAGGGACCAAGTGGCGAGGCAGCAGTTCTGTGTAAAAGGACCTAGGGGTTACGGTGGACGAGAAGCTGGATATGAGTCAACAATGTGCCCTTGTTGCCGAGAAGGCTAAGCATTTTGGGTGGTATAAATAGGCGCATTGGCAGCAGATTGAAGGACGTGATCATTCCCCTCTATTCAGCATTGATGAGACCTCATCTGGAGTACTGTGTCCAGTTTTGCGCCCCACACTGCAAGAAGGATGTGGGGAAAAATTGGAAAGAGTCCAGCAGAGGGATACAAAAATGATTAGGGGGCTGGCGCACATGACTTATGAGGAGAGGCTGAGGGAACTAGGATTGTTTAGTCTGCAGAAGAGAAGAGAAAGGGGGGATTTGATAGCTGCTTTCAACTACCTGAAAGGGGGTTCCAAAGAGGATGGATCTAGACTGTTCTCAGTGGTACCAGATGATAGAACAAGGAGTAATGGTCTCAAATTGTAGTGGGGGATATTTATGTTGGATATTAGGAAAAACTTTTTCACTAGGAAGGTGGTGAAGCACTGTAATGGGTTACAGGTGGTGAAATCTCCTTCATAAGAACAGCCATACTGGGTCAGACCAAAGGTCCATGAAGCCCAGTATCCTGTCCTCTGACAGTGGCCAGTGGCAGGCATCCCAAAGGGAATGAACAGACAGGTTATCATCTAGTGATCCATGCCCTGTCACCCAATCCTAGCTTCTGGCAAACAGAGGCTAGGGACACCATTCCTGCCCATCCTGGCTAATAGCCATTGATGGACCTATCTGTCTAGCTCCCTTTCGAACCCCGTTATAGTATTGGCCTTCACAACACCCTCTGGCAAGGAGTTCCAGAGGTTGGCAGTGTATTGTGTGGAAAAAAGACTTGGTTTGTTTTAAACTTGCTACCTATTAATTTCATTTGGTGGCCCCTTGTTCTTGTATTATGAGAAGGAGTAAACAAACACTTCCTTATTTACTTTCTCTATACCACTCATGATTTTATAGACCTGTATCATATCCCACCTTAGTCTCCTCTTTTCCAAGCTGAAAAGTCCCAGTCCTATTAATCTCTCCTCATACGGAAGCTGTTCTATACCCCTAATAATTTGTGTTGCCCTTTTCTGAACCTTTTCCAATTCCAATATATCTTTTTTTGAGATGGGGTTACCACATCTGCATGCAGTATTCAAGGTGTGGGCATACAATGGATTTATATAGAGGCAATATGATATTTTCTGTCTTATTATCTATCCTTTTCTTGATAACTCCCAACATTCTGTTCGCTTTTTTGACTGCTGCTGCACATTGAGTGGATGATTTCAGAGAACTATCCATAATGACTCCAAGATCTCTTTCCTGAGTGGTAACAGCTAATTTAGACCTCCATCATTGTATATGTATAGTTAGGATTATGTCTTCCTTAAAAACCCCTAAAGTCAGGCTTGACAAAGCCCTGCCTGGGATGATTTAGTTGGGGATTAGGTCCTGCTTTTGAGCAGGGGGTTGGACTGGATGACCTGCTGAGGTCCCTTCCAACCCTATGATTTTGTGATTCTAAATTGCTTAGGGAAGTTGTGGAATCTAAGTCATTAGAGGTTTTTCAGAACAGGTTAGACAAACATGTGTCAGAAATGGTCTAGTTATTACTCTGGTCCTGCCTTGAGTATGGAGGACTAGACTAGATAACCTATTCAGATCCCTTCTGGTCCTACTCTCCTGATTCTGACCTCCTGGTTATGGAAGTAATAGTAGTCCCTCAGAAGAAAGATCCTCAGGGTTCTACTCAATTTTCTTTATCATTGAGAAGCATACAGGAGAAAACCAAGCCATTTTAGATTTCAAAAGGCTCAACAAATGGATGAAGAAAATTAGGTTCCAGAAGGAGATATTAACCGCTACAATGTCATCCCTGTCCCAGGGGGACTTTCTGACTTGGTGGATCTGGAAAATGCATACCTTGACAACCCTGTCAGACTGTGCCATCATAGGATCTTAGGGTTTACTTATGACAGAAGGTATGCTCAATATGATGCTCCCATTCGGCTTGTCCTCAGTCCCACTGAGTCTTTACAAAGATTGTGGTAATCATAGCCAGACTCAGGTCACAAGGGATCCACCTGTACCCCTTCCTGGAGATGACATTTTAATCATAGCTCCGTCCCCACCAGCAACATGCAGAACTATATCCCTGACCTTGAATTTCCTGCAGGCACATTGGTTTATTGTCATCTAGAAAAGCTCCTTCATTCTGTCCACCCAAATAACTCACTTGGGAGAGGACATAGATACCTCGATAGCAAGGATATATCCATCTCTAGAGATGTTCCAAAAGAGTCAAGACATCCTCATGTTCTTTTGGAACTGCAAGAGGCCCACTGTTGCACTGAGCCTTCAACTGCTAGGTGTCCTAGTATCATGCATAGAGATCACTCCATCACACATCAGACACCTTTTTTAAGGCTTCATCTTAAAGGTATGGGACTACTCCCCAGATTGCATGGAATATAAAGTGAGGGTTTGGGAACAGGTAATTAAGTCCTTAAATGTTTGCAAGGGCATGCCCATGCTGTTCCAGCTCCCCTGATCCTCACAGCTGCCACCAACCTGAAGGGCTGGGGACCACACCTGGCTCCCAAATAGCTCAAGGCATATGGAACCTGGACAAAAGGACCCACAGCACAAACCTCCTAGAACTAAGAATGGTCAAGTTTGTGCTGTGAAGGTTCCAGTCCAACCTAGAGAGAAACCACGTCCTGATTGAGTCAGACAACATGACCATGGTTGTATATGTGAACAACCAAGGGGGAACAAGAAGCCCAGCGCTACACATCGAAGCAACAGAAATCATCCAGTGAGTGGAGCATTCTCTCCTCTCTCTTAAGGCAGCTCACATAAAGGGAGACTTGAACCGGAAGGCAGACTGGCTCAGCAAGCACAAAGTGAATAACTCCTGGTGGTGCATGAATCAGGAAGACTTCAAGTTAATCATCCAATTGTTCAGCCTGCCATTCTTCTTTGCGTATGTGCAATGTGCCTCAGATGGCACACAACCAGGATTCAACACCAAATTTGGTCTGCTGGTTGGATCATTAATTTCCCCAGCTTGGGCTGGGTACTGACAAGGACTGTGACATGAATGCTGAGCCATGCCCCCTGGCCTGCCATTAACTGACCAATTCTTTAACACATGAATGTGAAGAGACCAGAGTACTTCACCAGAGCAGTGGACCCCAGATCCATTGGGACAGAATCCCTATCGCACAGATAGCCACAGGGCGGCCTCTATGCGTTTCCACCCTTCTCATTATTATGGGAAGGTGGTTTAGAAAATCAAACAAGATGGGGCGACAGTATTATTGGTAACCCCACATTGACCAAGGAGATCCTGGGTTTTGGACCTGATCATGGAAATTGAGACCACCAGTACAGCTCGCCTAGGGGGAAAGGACATCCGTTCTTCTCACAAGGTCTTGTGCTTTATCCAGCCTTCCTATTGAAAGGGAAGCACTGGTATCATTGAGTCTGCGCTCCAAAGTCCTCAGAATACTCCTTTCTTTTGGAAGAATATCATCCTTGAAAGCATACTCCTGTATTTGGACTGTGTTTTCTGGCTGGTGCCGGGAACATGAAACCAACCCTAGAAATCCAGGAATTCCAGCTATTTTGGATTTTCTTCAAGAAGGCTTCAACAAAGGTCTCTTCCTCAGCACGATTACACGTCCGGTGTCTGCCTTTTAGTAGCATGATATTCACAGTATCCATGGGTTCTTTGACAAAGAACCTCTGGGTAGCCAGATTCCTTATGGCAGTGCAGTTAGTCAAGCCAGATATTAGACCTCTTTTTCCCAAGTGGCACGCCACTTGTACTGAGAGCCCTTCCAAACATAATTTCAAAGCATTTGGTGTATGTTTTTATTTGTCCATCAAAACTTGGTTTCTGATTGACACTTGCCTGGTAGACATGATGGCTGAGTTGGCGGTGCTCTCAATGCAGGAACTTTACTGTGTATTTCATCAGGACAGGGTGGTGCTCAGAGCTCCAGAATCATTTATCCCAAAGGTGAACTCTTTCCATGATTCCCAGGAGGTGGTTCTACCTTCATTCTGTCCAAGGCCATAGCCTCCTGAGGGGAGAGGGCACAGTTTAGATGTCTCTGAAAATTTACCTCCAAGTACAGAGTCCACAAGGAGAGCAGGTGTCCTGTTTTTGTAGCCTTCCAGCCAAGGACTCAGAGCTTCCATCTCCTCTGTTGCTCAGTGTATTAGATGATACATTGTGGAAGTATACAAGGCATTGGAGATTCTGGTTCCAGAAGGGGTTAGGGCACATTCTACGTGATCCCTGGTGATCTCATGGGCTGCAAAAGCTAATGCACCCCCAGCAGAAATTGATAAGGCAGTCACTTGGTCAAATGCTACCATCTTTATCAAGCAGTACAAGGTGGACTTGCTGTCCTCTGCAGATTTTAAGGCCAGAAGGGACCATCATAACCATCTAGTCTGACTTCCTGCACAGTACAAGCCACAGTGTAGCCCCTTGCTCACCCACTCCTGTAACGTCTGGCAGATCCATAATCTCTGGCTGAGTTACTGAACTCCTGAAATCAAGAGAGGACTTTAGGCCCTCAGCAAGACTTAGCCACAAAAAAGCTTCACCAAAGCAGCAACAGAGCTTGTACACTTTCTAAGCAAGCTAAAAAAGTTGTTTTTTTTTTAAAAAAAAATCAAAGAAAGCAAAAACAGGGAGGAAAAAGCATAAAATAACTAGGTGGTGTGAATCTTCTGATTCCTCTTCCTCCTCCATAGAGATTGATAAATTGTTGGGCTCTGAATCCAATCAGAACTGGGAAAAGACCTCAGCAAAGATCCCTCTGTGTAAGAAATGGATTATTTTAGATCAGCCTGAAGAAAACTGAGAGTAAGCCTCTGAGCAAATTTCTCCTCTCAAAATCCTCCCCTGTAGCCACAATTACTCTACATTCCTCCTTCAAGGAAGTAATCCTGGATGAATGGGATAAGCCAGACAAGGAGAACCACATTAACAGAAATTTATCTTAGGTTCTGTACGATCCAGAGATCAAAAATCCCAATTACTGATGTACCAAAAGTTGATGCCGTAGTGTTCCTGACTAGAGATATATTATCCCCTCAGAAGGTGAGTTCTACCCTAAGAACTCCATGGGTAGAAAAATGGAGACCACTCTCCAAAAAAAACCGCCAAAAAACATAGAGGTCTCTCCAGCCTACCTGTTCCTAGCAGCTGCTTCCTTTGCAATGGCATCTCTGTCGTGGCTGGAAGATCTCAGCGCTCTCAAGGATACAGAGCTACCATGACTTTGTCTGTATTTTAAAGAGTTTCCTTGGAAACAGTGTAAATTGTTGCTGACACCTCAGTGGATGTGATGAGATTCTCAGCCAAAGCCATGACCCCCGCTCAGCGACCAAGCACCACCTATGGCTCCATTCCTGGAAGGTGCATTGCCACTCAAAGCAGATACAGTAAAATCTTAACAGTCCCAATGCCACATAGTGCCTTTAAAAGAGTACAGACCGACCTTCAGACAAAGGTGTTCCTTTTGGCCATTGTTCTCACAGAATACCAGCAAAGAGACAACGTGTTCTCCTGAGAAGCCATAGAACTGTGACACAGGAGGAAAGCCTTAAGGGAACGCTGCCACTCCCGAAACCTCTTTATGACAAAGACCGCATTTTATGGGCTCCACCCCATCTTAATTATGGGCTCCACCCCATCTTTTTTTCATCTAGTTCTCCATCTTGAATGACCCTGTAAAACACGATCTAATCCATGAGACTGCCACCTAGTCAAATGCTACCACTTTTTTATCAAGTACAAAAAGATAGACTTCTTGTCCTCTGCAGAGGCATCCTTTGGCAGGAAGGTTCTGCAGGTGGAGGCCTGGAAATGATTTTGCCTTTTTAAACAAATATTCTAGATTGGGAGACCATTTCTGACCTTTTCTATAACCCTCCTTACATCTGTTTACTGCTTGCTGCTTCCCAGACGTCAAGAATTGTGGAAGATGCTGGGCTGCAGAATGAAAAATTTTACTGATGATTTCCTTTCTGCTAGCATCATCTCCCACAATTCTACTCACTGGAGATAGCTCCTAAGTCAAAGATCAGACATTAAGTGAAATCGTTACCATAGGACTGTATCTCTTGGTCTAACGTGTATAGTTATTTCATTATCTCTGTAATATTTATTAATGATGATATGCAAGTTTTACAGCTTTGGAATAACTCATCTGGAAGTAGGCAGGAACTGGGGAGGGAGGCATGACCAGACCATGTGGTTTCAAAAATCTGCTCCGCCTCTGTTAGCTGCAGAGACAAAGCAGCCCAAAAGTCAAGAATTGTGGGAGATACTGCTAGCAGAATGGAAAATTTCTTACTGATAATTTTCCTTTCTCTCACTTGATAAATTAGTATAAGCCTGCATAACAGAAAACACCAGAGCTTGCTCTTTGTAATATATGGTTTTAGTATTATTTTTTCCAAGTATGGTTAGGCTTGATCAAACACCTGAATGAGGAAAGGAACATTTTACTTTGGCTAGCATGTAGAATCGGGAGATAGTCCTTGGCAGAGCCAAAAGGACAATCTGGAGCTAACTGTATGACCTTAGTCAAGTTACTTAAACATGCTGTGCTTCAGGTCTCTATTTGTAAAGAATCTCAGAGTTTGAGGTTTAATTCATGCTTGTAAAGCACTTTTGAGAGCCTCAGGTGAAATTATTTTTCATTATTTTTCCCCTTGTCTGTATTCTTGTTGGAAGTTTCATTTCACTTACTTTTTCATGATGTACTGTTCTCATCTTGACTTAACATCCCTTGTTGCATCCATTATCAACAAAGGCCTGAAATTGACTATCTCTAGAAATACTGCTTGTAAAGACGCTAATTCAGAAAAGCATTTAAGCATGTGCTTGTGTTTTGCTGAAGTGGGGTGTAAAGGCCTTATTCTGAGAAGTACCAAGCATCTACAATACCTATTGACTTCAGTGGGAGTTGTGTATTCAGGATCATGCCCTGAATGAGTAGAAATGTTGCTGATGAAAACAAGACTCTCCCTTTTCCCTCAAGGACATTGTGTGCCTGGTCCGTGTCTTGTGAGCTGGGAGTCTTAAGAAATCTAACTACAATCACTATAAGGCAGTAGAGAGCACTGTCTGAGCAGGTTGGCACTTTGTTTTTGGGACTGTTTTTTTTTGCCTTTACCTGTGTGGCTCCACTCACTAAAAGCTGCCTCCTACCCAGATCCTCTCTATCCCATACCATGGTTTGTAATCAACGTTTAAAACCATGTATTGACATGTTTTAATATTTGTATAATGAGAATTTTTCCTTTCAGAAACGTGTTGTCAATGTGTATCGCTTGATAACGAGAGGAACTCTGGAAGAGAAAATTATGGGTCTGCAGAAGTTCAAAATGAATATTGCAAATACAGTGATTAGCCAAGAGAATGCAAGCCTACAAAGCATGGGAACAGATCAGCTTCTTGACCTATTCACTCTTGACAAGGTAAAGAACCATTTGCAAAATTATCTACTAAAAAGCATTTAGAGGCGTGAACATAAAAAATGCTGTGATGTGAATCCTAAAATTAGTGGTCAAACAAGCACTTGAAATAGAATAATGAACACCAAGATGTTTCCCAAGGAGCCATTACCCTCATCCTCTTGGAATGGACTCCATAATGCTCCAGAAAGGACGAATATCAATCTTTCAGAGGTGTTCCTGTGTTAATGTGTATAAAGGGAAACTAGGAAGAAATAAGATGCTTGTGATAAATATTATAAAACACTTTTTTTTATCTTAGTTTAAATGTGTCCATTTTTTCTTTTAAGGATGGGAAAAGTGAAAAAGCAGATACTTCTTCTTCTGGGAAAGCCTCTATGAAAGCAGTTCTTGAAAATCTGGGAGAACTTTGGGATCCAGAACAGTATGATTCTGAATACAGTCTAGAAAACTTTATGCATTCACTCAAGTAACCATCTTACATTCTTGATTCAGTTGCTGCTAGTTCACGTATTTTTCTGCTGATATTCAGCAAATTTCAAAGCATATATAGTGAACCTATAGCTCAATATGTAAATAGACTTCTTGAAAGAAGAATCAGCAAAAGACTGACACTGAATAGTGTCATATGTTTCACTGGGGGAGTTATTCTGTCTTAAATATTTGCACTGTATAAAACTTTAAATGTAAACATATTGTGAGGTGGTTTGAATTTTACTTGCTAAACAGATGCAAATTCTTATTTGGTAGAGGAATAAAACCCAGCAAGTTTTACATATGCTAACAAGTGTTACTTCCTTTTGAAATAAGTCCACCGTTGTTCCTTGCTGTATCTATAGTTTTGTACAGATACGTTTCAGTAAGTACTTCAGGTTGTTCGTGTACATTTTTTTTTATTTTAAACATAACTTGCTTTTATGATTTATTAAAAAGTAAGATTTTTTTCAGCTTAACAAGTTATAATGATCTTTCATTCAGATCATTTCAAGATGTACATCACTAATGGCAAATCCTAGAAGCTAGAAAGAGTGGTGGGAAACTAAATGGAACTAGATTTATGTGTGCCCATCTCTGTATATTGAATATAAATATATAATGCTCTTCAATCTTTTGACATCACTTTGAGAGCAGTTGATTTCAACTTTTTAATCTAATGTGTTATACTAAATACAGGTAAATGGTCTGTTTAAGGCCACCTATGCATCCCATTAAGAGGGTGTGCTTTTTTAATTTATCTATAAGGCTAGAATATAGCCCCATTCAGAGACCTATGTATTCAGTAGGTTTCAATCCTATATATTTTTTGTAACTAAAAGAACAAATATACAAACAGAACTTTTCCAGAAATAGATTTTGCACTGTTTAGAATTCTAAAATCCATGCTGAAGAGACTGTTTACTGTACTAGTGCATGAATTAAAACCTCTTAAACAGAAGATGGGAAAATATTTTCTTTAGGGATCTAGATATACATACATATCATCATAGAAATACCTCCTCTCAATCTGAGGGAATCGAGCATTAGAGTTAAAATCATGTAACAAAGATTCTAAAGCAGGGGTGGGCAAACTACAGCCCAGGGGCCACATCTGGCCCTTCTGATGTTTTTAATCTGTCCCTCGAGCTCTCGCCGGGGAGCGGAGTCTAGGGCTTGCCCCGCTCCATGCATGCCGTGGCTCCGCATGGCTCCCGGAAGCAGCAGCATGTCCCTCCACCGGCTCCTATATGTAGGGACAGCCAGGCGGTTCCACATGCTGACCCCGCAGCCCCCAGTGGTCAGGAACCGTGGCCAATGGGAGCTGCAGGGGCAGCGCCTGTGGACTGGGCAGCGCGCAGAGGCACCTGGCCATACCACCGTGTAGGAGCCAGAGGGAGGACATGCTGTTGCTTCCAGGAGCTGCTTGAGGTAAGCGTCACCCAGAGTCTGCGTCCCTGACCCCCTTCCACCCTCTGTCCCAGCCTAGAGCACCTTCCTGCACCCCCTATCCCTCATCCCTAGCCCCACCCCAGAGCTCGCACCCGCAGCCTGAGCCCCCTCCCCCCCAGCCCGGAGCTCCCTCACATGCCCTGAACTCCCCATTTCTGGTCCTACCCCAGAACCAGCACTCCCAGCCAGAGCCCTCACCCTCTCCAATACCTCCCCAAACCGCAATTTCATGAGCATTCATGGCCCGCCATACAATTTCCATACCCAGATGTGGCTCTTCGGCCAAAAAGTTTGCCCACCCCTGTTCTAAAGGGCTTTAATAGCTGGGAGTGCGTATACAGTAGCTGTATATTAAGCAGCTTTTTATAAAAGGGAGTCAATAGTAAAGGTGGTATGTATGTTTATAGATGTGCATGTATGTACCAGTATGTACACAATTTTATAAATATATTAAATTATAGATAAATTTACAAAGCTGTCTGAATGAATACATATATAGGATATATGTATAGATATCAAAATAATCTACAATTTGTAGCTTGTTGTGCACTTAAGCGTCAGACTAAAAACCATCAGAGACCTCAAATATGTAAAATAACAGATTGCTTTGTTAAAACACCCCTCCCCCCAAAAAATAAAATAAAAAAACCCGCTTATCCTATAAAGCAAGACTGTTCTGCTGCATTTGGAAATGAATTTGACATATTTCAGTAGTTACAAACTGCCATATTGTAATATTAAACTAGCATTCCATTAAAAAAAATAAAAACAAAATTGGGAATACATAACTCTTTGTATGTTGTATGTACATGGGGTGTGTGTGTGTGTGTATATAAAATATATATATATAGAAAAGAATGATGAATGGAGAAAGACCAGTTTTATGCATAGTGAACAGTCCTATGGAGAAGTACAGTTGGGTCATTAGTGGTGAATGTTTTGGTGCAGGGATGATCCTGATTGGTTAATGTTCACTGCAAAAATAAAGTATCTTTCTCTCCCAGATGCATAGCAAGTACCTTCATGTACATTGCCTAGGTTTTTTTCTACTGCATGTTCAAGAAAAGATGAACAGTGTGTAACTAATATCTCAAAACAATAAGCTTTGGTGTCCTTCTGTTTGAATATTTGACTTGCTATTGTTGTAGCTAAAGAATTACTATGCATGAATTTTGTAGGCATTCGAAGATAATGTTGACAAGTCTTTTATGCATTAATCTTGCTGTGGCTCCAAGACATCAGTGATGAAAAAGATAGTAAATGTTTTTCTTTAATTTCAGTAAAGAAGTGTTTTTATCTAACCATAAAACATTGTATTAATTTAAAACTAACTTGGGGAACTCTGCAGCAACAAGCATTCCAATCTACTTATCATGATGGGAATTTGCTGGAGCACTGCAAAGCTCTACTCCTGTCACTGCCATATGGTCACCTGGACTGCATTACATTAATTACCACCATAGGGAAGGAAAGATACTGCCTAGCAACGCTCTCATATGATGGCTTTAAATTGGCTGCTCATTGTCACATTTTTGTTGCTATGCAACCCTAATCCTCCTTATGACAGTGGCCTTCTTGGATGTGACATCAAGATGGCCCCGGCCAAGAGCTGGGGAGTCCGGAATAAATTAATGTTTGTGTTAATTTGAGGATTGTATGCACAAATTATAATTCTTAAGAGAAAATGTTCAGAGCAGGAAATACCAGTAAACACCAATGAGGACTAGTTCAAATCATTTTTATAGAAAGTCAGACTAAACAATCTGACTAAATCCTGAGATTGAATGACATTAAAGTCGGACAAGTTTCAGAACCAAGAAAACAATGAATGGAATCAAAGAAAAAAGACCCTATACACTTTAGTAAATGAAAAGATGTGTAATGAACATTAATCTGTTCAGAAATGTTGCAAATGGTAGCTGTCTAAAGTATTCAGAATTAAGCAGAAAAGGGTGCAGACTTCAAGTTTGAGGGGAACCAAGGCCCGAAAAGATACTAATCTGGGATTACAATTTTTATTAAGGTTACAGCTCAGACTGACATTCTAATCTGAGTCAATGTCTATGAGATTCTTTAAAGTACATGGTATTAAAAAACATAGACTATAAAACACTTTGGGGCAGAAAGTACCATTTTAGAAGCAAATTATATGGATGTGTATAGTTCTTTTCAATTTTTGAAATAACCTAATTTTTGAAATAACATACTGTATATACTTGTTCATAAGCCGAATATTTTTGGTAAAAAAGTGATGCATCAAAGAGTGGGGGGGTCGGCTTATAAATGGGTCTACACCAAAATTTGATGATTTTAAACTCTATGAAATCATTGAATGAATATCTAATACATTGTCAAAAAGAAAAGGAGTACTTGTGGCACCTTAGAGACTAACCAATTTATTTGAGCATGAGCTTTCGTGAGCTACAGCTCACTTCATCGGATGTATACCGTGGAAACCTGTAATACATTGTCATTTTGTTTACCTGGAGCGTCTGCAGACATGGAGCCCCTCAGTTCCCAGTGGCTGCGATTTGCCGTTCCCAGCCAATAGGAGCTGCAGGAAATGGCGCCACTTCCCGCAGCTCCCATTGGCTGGGAATGGCAAACCGCAGCCACTGAGAACTGAGGGGCTCCATGCCTGTGAACGCTCCAGGGAAACAAAACGTCCTGACCCACCAGCAGCTTACCCTGACAGATCGGGAGCCAAAGTTTGCCAACCCCTGAAATATAGGGTCGGCTTATGAAAGGGTCATATGTTTTTTACTATTTTTACCTATCCATCTTTTGCGGGGTTGGCTTATAAACAACGGGCTAATGAATGAGTATATACAGTAATTGTTCCAAATGAATCTTTCCAGTCTAGTATTAGCGAAGTTTCTGTGCATGTGCACTACATCTGCATGTTAAATATCTTATTGAAAAGTTTAGTTTCTCCATTTGCATCCTTAGGAGAGAGGCAGCAAATATGACAACTGCCCAAAGAGTCCACAGCCAGTCTTCACAGCTGCTAAGGAGAGAGGACTTCTCTTGTTATTCTGGGGACAATCATTTTCCATGCCACACAAAGTGTACTTAATTCACTTTGTTTTAGAAATCTTCCAGGAAAGTTAAGTGATGCATTTCCATGCCATCTCCCAACTCTTCTTCCTAGTCCTCCACAGATACCTTCTCTATCCCTTTTCATGGATCCATCTGCTGGGGCCTCTGCTTTAACACGAATTTGCCACAGTTCTGCAATTTGGGGGGAAACACAAATTGTTCCCCAAGAGTATTGAAGAGAATGGCTCTTGCTTTTTCAGTTAAAAAAAAAAAACAACAAAAAACAAAACAAGAACAGTAGTCTCACACCTGTGTTTGACTTTTGCAAATCCAGATCTTCTGAGATACTTGTTTCAAGTGGGGGGTGGTGGTGGTGGTGATCTTTCCATGCTCTTTTTTTACTTTCTCAGGATTAGTTTGGGACTTCATTCTTCCATTTCTCCCACCATGAAATCAGGAAGACAGAGTCCAAGTTATTCTTACAGTTCTAACTTAATCTTGTCAATTTTGACATTCTACTAGCCCTGTCACTGAACTGTCAAAACCAGTTGCCAACAGTTCCAGATCTGTTACCTCAAACCATTGTCAGGTCTTCCATCTAGACCTGACGTCACTCCATATGGCATCTTAGTGTGTGAAATCCTTTTAGGATTTGGATGTAGACACCCAAATCCTTGGCTGCAACCAAAGAGTGCTGAGCTACGATCAGGAAGGTAAGTACAAAGGTGGACTTACAGTGTCTGAGCGTAACAGTGTCTGAGCGTAACAAGTTTTCTTAAACTACTTGCATTTTCTCTAGTTTGGGAACCACCACAGATCTTTGATCTAAGTAAAGTCCTGACAAGACTAACCATCTCTCTGTGAGCCAATGTCTCTGAAGAGTTCCTCATAGCTAAAACTTGAGGCACTGATGGCTGATCTTCCATTTAAAATATTTCCAGAGTGTCATAATTTACCTTTATACTAGATTTAAATTACTACTTAGATGGGACAAATTATTTTCATAACCCCTGTAGGCTATTTGTGGTTTTGTCTGTCTCGATCCAGAATCTTTCTAAATTGATTAGACTTTGTATCCAATTTTGTTAAGTTAGGCGAGAGTCATGGCCATAAGGAACTGAGAACTCATTACACTACGTCCAAAGTGTCTTGCAGGGTATACTTGCAAAATGTCCATTACAAAATGCATAGTCATTGCATTGCAATTTTCCATGATATTATGTTTGTGAAGCTGCCACTTCGAGAGCCATTCACATACTATTTTACACAGTATTATTCTCTTGAAATGGGCCAGAGTAATCCTTCTATAATTAGAATAAATCTTCTGCTGAGGATGGATTAGTAGTTCTACTCCCAGACTGGGGATCAGCAGAGTCCATGATTTTGTTTTCATTGCCATCCACTAGTCAGACAAAGTTCAAAACTTAGGAACCAGTTATATTGGCCACGGTGCAATCAAAGAATTAAAATTCTATTTATTGGAAAGTATGACTTCCTGTTTAAGCAAATTACTTGAAAAACCTCAACACTGAATGCTGAGAAGAGGTCTGTGTTTCACTGTGCACATCTAAAGCTGATCTCTTCCACCAACAGAAGTTGATCCAATAAAAGATATTGCCTTGCCTGCCTTGTTGCTCGGGATGAAGACTGAGACTTCCAGAATGTAAATATTTTTATAAATAGTTACAATCTGTCAAACATACTCCTAGTGCAAGGAACATATACTGCCTTCTTTTAAAAAGAAGAGGAGTACTTGTGGCACTTTAGAGACTAACACATTTATTAGAGCATAAGCTTTTGGGGGCTTCAGCCCACTTCATTGGATGCATAGAATGGAACATATAATTACACACACACAGAGTTGGAAGTTACCATACAAACGGTGAGAGGCTAATTAGTTAAGATGAGCTATTATCAGCAGGAGAAAAAAACTTTTGAAGTGATAATCAAGATGGCCCATTTAGACAGTTGACAAGAAGGTGTGTGGATACTTAACTTAAGGAAATAGATTCAATATGTGTAATGACCCAGCCACTCCCAGTCTCTATTCAAACCCAAGTGAATGGTATCTAGTTTGCATATTAATTCAAGCTCAGCAGTTTCTCATTGGAGTCTTTGTTTTTGAAGCTTTTCTGTTGCAAAATTGCCACCCTTAAATCTTTTACTGAGTGGCCAGAGAGGTTGAAGTGTTCTCCTACCAGTTTTTGAATGTTATGATTCCTGATGTCAGATTTGTGTCCATTTATTTTTTTGCATAGAGACTGTCCGGTTTGGCCAATGTACATGGCAGAGGAGCATTGCTGGCACATGATGGCATACATCACATTGGTAGATGTGCAGGTGAATGAGCCTATACCGGAAACCTATTGACCGCTATACTTGCCTACATGCCTCCAGCTTCCATCCAGGACATGCCACACGATCCATTGTCTACAGCCAAGCTCTAAGATTCAACCGTATTTGCTCCAATCCCTCAGACAGAGACAAACACCTACAAGATCTCTATCAAGCATTCTTACAACTACAATACCCACCTGCTGAAGTGAAAAAACAGATTGACAGAGCCAGAAGAGTACCCAGAAGTCACCTACTACAGGACAGGCTCAACGAAGAAAATAACAGAACGCCAGTAGCTGACACCTTCAGCCCCCAAGTCAAACCTCTCCAGCGCATCATCAAAGATCTACAACCTATCCTGAAAAATGATACCTCACTCTCACGGAACTTGGGAGACAGAGCAGTCCTCACT